TTAAAAACCAAAGAGCAACATGACTATAACACTGCGATCTTCAACTTCTTTTATCAGTCTAAGACACGGCAGAAGCCTCAAAACTCCTGATGGTTTTTCTGGCACAGTTTGCTTTGCGCAAATCAAGCCATCATGCAGTCTTCAAGCAAAGAACTCAAAGCAAGAAACACAGCTTTCGCACGATGATATCCTAGTGACAGAAGGGAGGAAGAGCAAGAGTTGGGAGAAACTACATGCAATATCAGGTCCTCATAGCAGCAACAACTCTAGAGTGCCCGTGTTTGTGATGCTGCCACTAGACACAGTAACAATTGGAGGGAATTTGAACAAGCCAAGAGCGATGAATGCTAGCTTGATGGCCTTGAGAAGTGCAGGAGCTGAAGGAGTAATGGTGGATGCTTGGTGGGGATTGGTAGAGAAAGATGGACCTTTGAAATACAACTGGGAAGGGTATGCGGAGCTTGTGCATATGGTGCAAAAGCATGGCCTAAAGCTTCAAGTTGTCATGTCCTTTCATCAGTGTGGAGGAAATGTTGGAGATTCTTGCAGGTATTTTCAAGCCTAAACCTTTCTAGTTGTAGGTGGGTTTAAATTGATAGTCACAGCAAATAAGCAATGAATTCTTAGTTTTGATATATTTTTCCCATTTAAGTTTAAGATTTGAGAGACGAATTACTCGTAAGAATATTTGTCAGATTCCTTGGGACCTATTAAGGACCTTTTCAGACTTTACTACGACTTAGAAGTTGCCAAGCATTAAACTTTTTTATTTGTTAGGTATTAATTATTTTTATATAACAATTATATATTTCGCAGGAAAATATCTTCTTTGATAAATATTCTAAATAGTGCCTGATCCCTCCTTTCTCCTGAACTTTTAGCATTCCCCTGCCCCCGTGGGTGCTTGAAGAGATGAGCAAAAACCATGATCTTGTCTACACTGACAAATCAGGTCGGAGGAATCCTGAGTACATTTCCTTGGGCTGTGACTCATTACCATTGCTAAGAGGAAGAACACCCATACAGGTCTACAGTGATTACATGAGGAGCTTCCGCAACAGATTCAAAGATTACCTTGGACAAGTTATCACGGTACGCTTCTGCACAAGACACTTCCTTGGTTCTAGTTTTTGGGCATAGAGACGAGTTTCATATTAATTGGGCACATAAATTATCACCAAATTTACTACACAAGATGAAACCATGTAACAAACTTGAACTATTATTCTCTCATGTAGACATCACAGGGTACGTCAATGCTAATCATATCTCTGTTATTTATTTTGGCAACAAGAATTTTGAAAAGTGCATCGACAGAAGGCTATCATGGAAATTTTTTTATGGCTTAAATGAATAAAAACATGATCCCTCCATCGAAAGCCTACTGAGCTTGAAGCAAGGATTAAGCACAAGCTCATGACTAACTAGTTTGTAAGCAAATGGGTCAATGCCACCTCATCATCGATTACCAAATATCAGCTTTGAGGAACAGCGTTTCTTTATTTTCTTTCATTTTTCACTGAAAGTTTGGTTTGTATATATGCCAAAGGGCTAATCCAGTGGCAGACCCATCACTCATCCATGCCAAGATCATAGGTTTCCAGTCTTAGTAGATCTGAATTTGTTTTTTAATAGTCATGGATTGAGTCAGCTTATATGGTTAGTAATTCCAGGACTTCTAAAATTAGTTGAGGACATCTATCCATGTTATAGGTTTTATTTCGTCATATGTGACAGAGACTACTGGAGAGAAACTGAACTAAAACGGTACAAACTGATTCTAAAAAAATCAAGAGCAAAGCCCTCCCTTATCTACACGTACGATATTATTTCTTGAAGCTTAAAAAACCGACCGTTTCTATTGCAGGAAGTTCAAGTGGGGATGGGTCCATGTGGAGAACTGAGATACCCTGCTTATCCAGAAAGCAAGGGCACATGGAGGTTTCCCGGAATTGGAGAATTCCAATGCTATGACAAGGTAAATTTTGCTGTATCCTAAACTGCAGATTTTTTTAGCATGCTAGTCGTCTAATTTGAGCAATCCACAGATGAGTGCTCCATCAATATTTGAGCAATCCACAGATAGAGTGCTCCATCAATTTATAACACAATTGATACTGATCTTATTCAGTGGTTGCACATGGAATCAAATCATCAGATTAACCATAAAACTTGTAATATATTTGGTCGAGTTATTTGGTTTTGGAAATTTTAATTCCTAAAAACAGCTCTTTTATGTTGAACAGTACATGAGAGCTTCACTGGAAGCCTCAGCGGAAGCAGTTGGAAAGACAGGCTGGGGACTACGTGGACCCCATGATTCCGGCCAGTACAATCAGTTTCCTGAAGAAACTGGATTTTTCAGGAGGGATGGAACATGGAACACTGAATATGGACAGTTCTTCTTAGAATGGTACTCAGGGAAGCTACTAGAGCATGGTGACAAAATCCTAGCAGCTGCAGAAGGAATATTTCGAGGAACTGGAGCAAAATTATCGGGAAAAGTAGCAGGAATTCACTGGCATTACAGAACGAGGTCTCACGCAGCAGAACTAACTGCAGGATACTATAATACTAGACATCATGATGGATACCTAACAATGGCACGCATGTTCAGTAAATATGGAGTAGTATTCAATTTCACCTGCATGGAAATGAGAGATGGGGAGCAACCACAACATGCAAATTGCTCTCCAGAAGGATTAGTGCAGCAAGTGAAGATGGCTACAAGGACTGCTAGGATTGAACTTGCTGGAGAAAATGCATTGGAGAGGTATGATGCAGGTGCATATTCACAAGTTATGGCAACAAGTAGATCAGAATCTGGCAATGGATTGACTGCATTTACATATCTAAGAATGAATAAGAGGTTGTTTGAAGGGGACAACTGGCTGCATTTAGTACAGTTTGTTACAAGCATGTCGGAGGGTGGTCGCCATGGAAAACTATCAGAATGTGACTCCAGTGGAACTGACCTTTACGTTGGCTTTATCAAAGACAAGAGCGTTCAGAAAACTACGGAAGTTGCTCTGGCATAAAAAAAAAAGGTGTATCTTCATGTAAAACACCAAAAAGCTCAATGTATTATAGGTAGAAAGTAGAAATAAAATCACCATACCTTTGGCATGACCTGCCAAACTCTGAGATGATTGTATAGAAGAATAAAAATCCGTATCTGTATCTCCATGCCACTCACGGAGAACAAATTCTTATAAGCTAATGTTGTATCGGCCAAGATTATAGAAAGCTAAAAGATGACTCGTCATTTTTGGGTGAGCCAAAGAGATCAGCCAATCTTATTCATCACAACATCCAATCAACATCCTTCATTCTCTTGACATTTGCTTAATGAATGCATTTTTAAATTCAATCTTGATCCCTGTCCACTTACCAAAGAGGTGCAATCCTTTCAAGTTCCATGAAAAATATGCTTTAATTTAGGAGTGATTCATAAGGCTTAAAATTCAATTCCTGCAACTTTCGTGAACATACACGCAGAACCCAACACAAGATGGAACTCATCTCGAGCAGTTGTCGAGACCTTAAAAACATGACAAAATAACCTGTAGATGTGTGTGCCAAGCTTGTAGTTACCATGTATCCAATGTATTACAGGAAAAAGGAATTGCATTTTGTTAAACAATGACCTCATTTTTCAATCATGTTAGAAGAATTGTCGTGTTAAAAACCAGCAAGTTTGTTGAATTGTCCTTGCTACTGCATAGACTAGAGGGAATCATGCTTTCGAAGAGATCTAAGTTGCAGAAACTAATCTTAAGCTCCCAGGTGTCAGTTTTATTAAACTAACGTGTACATTAAACTTGTGCCTAACTTTATGAAGACTATTGTGTTCTGTATGTTACTAATATCTTTCTTCTCTTTTCTTTCGTGGAAAAAGAAAACTTATCAAGGGAGTGCCATCCTATTTACAGAGAACAAAACTTACACAAAAACAATGAACCAATAAACTCAGTAGCATCATTTACACTAACAAAATGTTCCTCTGCATGCCAGGATTTAAATTTGAAATCAAATTTTCTATAAGAAGGCTAAGACTCGTCTATTGCACGCTAGGATTTTTTTTGAATTCCTAAGTAACTGCATAGCTCCTTTTTTCTGCCTACAGAAACCTCCACAAATCCAAGCATTCAACTCAACATCCCCAGGGCCTGAAGTGCTCCAACTTCTGAATGACTCCAGCAGTGAAACAACAAGTGATTGAAAGATTCAGCTGCACCCTCACAAGATAGTACCGCGTCCCTTTTTCTGTAGGATTATTAACAGCCAAAATCCTATGCAAATCACCTCATTCGGAAAAAAGAAGAAGAAAAAAGACACTCTGTAGAGAGGACTTTGATCTTCCAAATAGATCTCCAAGGGAAATCACTCCTCTCAATGCACAATTCTTTCACAAAGCTGTCTGAAGAGATTTTAACTAAATTTACTGTTCGTATATAGTCTCCATGTCATCTCATCCTCATCTTCAACCCTCAACATTCATCATAAGTGATATGAAAAAAAGAATAGCATCTACCTTATCCCCAACCAAGTCAAAAAAAGATTGGACAAATTAGGACTCTAGAAGAATATTCGGATGGTAAGTTTTCATAAAAAATAAAAATACAGTCGTCCCCACTTCAAATGCGAAAAGAACTCTTCCCAACCTCTTCTAATATATTGCAAGAATTCTAGGATCAGGGCCTATTAATAACAAAATCAACACAAACTATTAAGCACTTTATCATCGAAATTCCTCAAAGCTCTTAAGCTTAGGAACATTTTATAATCGGATTATTGTTAATAAAATATAATGTAAGGACCTATTCTTTTAATAAATCTTTACACATCAATTACCACCGCAAAAAGGCAATAACAGGCTACTAGCATGAACGATGTGAAGCAGCTGAATGTCTTGCATGCCTAACAGGTTTTCATGAAAAAAACAAATAGTCATTCATGAAAAAAAATAATAATCAAAAGGCGTCCAAGACAAAGCGATCTGTAAATCTAAATTCAAAATACTTAAATAAAAAAATAACTACGCGTTAATTAATAATACTAGGCCAATGCTTGTTAAGATCAGCAGCACTATTACACATGTACAGATTTTCCTTTAAAAATAATAGAGCAAAAAAATAATTATGGCAGGAAACAATTAACTCACAATAACACAGAAGAAGAGGAGTTAAAAGTCAAAATCCCAAGGTTCTCTCAAGTCTCCAAGCTCTTTCCGAGCTGATTCTCTTCAATTGAATTCGGATTTCCACGGCGAAGATCTTCAATTAAGTCTCCAAGCTCTTTCCGAGCTGACTCTCTTCCAAACATGAAACCATACCTGCAACCCCCAAAAATAAAATCAAATTAAAGAAAAAGCCGATTGACTGACGAGAACAAAGTTGAGGAATACCAGAAGGAAACGGCAGAGAAAACTCCAGCTGTGGTTACTGTTTGAACTAATGTGAACGATTTTCCCATTTTCCCTTTTCAAATTCTGTTTTGTTTTCGATTCTATTTCTAGTCAATGAGTTAGTTCGGGTTTTACAAAGCTTTTTACTCAGTACAGTACACCCTGGACCTCCCGCCCCCCACTTTTCGGCAGCAAATAAATAAACAGACTAATAAAATAAAAACTGAAGTCATTAAGAGTATAGTGTGGGCTAAGCCTGGGCTCCAGTAACTAAAGCCTGTATTGTGATGCTTTTACACCTGAACCATGCGTGGGAGATTTACTAGTTTTCCTATTTAAAAATATTTCCACAACATATATTCCTCTCTGATTAAATAAATTGCTTTTATTTTAATCAATTAAAAAAATAAAAAAGAAAATGAAAAAAAACAGTGACAATAACTTTTTTTTTTCAAGAGTTGAAAAATAATGTTCAAAGGATAGGATTGTGTAAAAAATAGATAAAAAAATCAGTGCGAGTCAACTTGAATTAACATAGTAAATATGTAACTTGGTAATCTAAGGTAGCTCATCTCGGGTTAACCCGTCAAACCTACTTTTTATATCATGATATTAGAATAATCCGATAAAAAATAAATCAAATAAAACTATATATCTATTTTTTAAAAAAATAATGTTGAATGATAAAATAAATTAAAAAAACTAAAAAAAGTGAACCCTTATTAACTGTTCAAATTTATGACTTGGGATATTAGATGGAAAACACTATATATGAAAAAATCATTAAGCTCAACTCCTAACAAATCAAATGTTAAAAAATGAATTTGAGGAAAAAAAATCACATAAAAAGATAAAAAATAATGATTAAAAAAATAAGGATAAAAAAAGAGGAAAATTAGAAAAAAAAATTGGAGGGTGAAATTAGAAAGAAAAATAACTTTAACAAAATCAAAAGAATGATGATCAAATTGAAAAAATAATATATTATAAATTTGAATTGAATGATAAAATTAAAAACCAATAAAACATTTATAAAAAAACAAAAAAAAAGACTAAATTAAAAATAATAATATATGACAAATTGAGATTGAAATATAAAATTGAAAATAATTAATTTTTTTATAAAAAAATTAAAAAAATAAAAATAATAAAAATAATAAACACTAAAATTAAAATATCAACAATAAAAGGACAGACCCATGATTTCCAGAGGATTAGAAAGAAGAAAAAGGAAAAAAAATCCATCAGCAATAAATAACTCCATCACCACTAATACAGATTCTACCAACAAGAAAAGCATGCAGTAATGCTTTTAATAACACTAGGAAAATGTTTTTTTATTTTTTTTGCCATTAAAAGGTGCCACAAAAGCACAAATACCTCCAATGTACCAACCTCCTTTTCCATTAAAATAATAAAAAAATCAGTATAAGAAAAATCAAATTGCTCTTGATGAACCTGTAATATGAGAAAGATCAAAATAAAAAAAGGAAAATGTTTTTTTTTTTTTTGCCATTAAAAGGTGCCACAAAAGCACAAATACCTCCAATGTACCAACCTCCTTTTCCATTAAAATAATAAAAAAATCAGTATAAGAAAAATCAAATTGCTCTTGATGAACCTGTAATATGAGAAAGATCAAAATAAAAAATATCAGAAGGCCACAGAAAAGCACAGTTTAATTTTTGCCAGTCCCTATGATTGATCGAATTATTTGCTTTATATATATATATATATATATAACACTTTTTAAACAGTAAGGATTCTTCGGGTGATTTAAAATTTATTATAAATATTATTTCAATACAGTGAAAAAATAAAAACTCCTTGTTTCCGAGAAATATATTATCAAACCACAAAACATATTATCAAACCACGTTACATTTTATATTCTTTATAGCTTCTCTTGTATTGGAATATTCGGCGTTAAAAAACAGAAATTATTATTATTATTATTATATTTTTATTAATGTGGGTGTCCGGGCCAGCTTACACGCACCACGACTAATCCCACGGTCCACTGGACATCCTGCAAGCCTCAGTGAATAGATTAGGCACCGCGGGGACGACAGGCGTACCACACAGCAAGGAGCTAGTAGAACCAGGAAGGACACCACTCGCCAGCCCTACTCTCACTGGGACTCAAACCGAGGTTCGAAAGAAGACGAGCAGTGCCTGACGCCACTGAGCTACAAGCTGCTCGTAATTACTATTTTTATTATTATTATCTTGAGAGGAGGAGGGGTTTTCAACTCAAGGTTTTCAGAACCAAGGAAATTTTTACCAATACCTACTGGTTAAGGAAAGAAAAGAACGTCTTTGACGAACAACAGGAGGCGTTGAACCGATTACCAAGGCAGAAATGAGTACAAAAGGTTGATCAAGAGTTGAGAAATAATGGAAACCATATTACATTAATCATTGTAATCATATCAGACAGAAGTTTAGCAGCAAGATTCACGACCATTCTGCCCATTCACTCTTTGTTATTGCCTGCCTCACTCCATTCATAGTTTGACAACGGAAAAGAATGGTATTAGCGACCCCAAACCCTTTGCTTAGCCGACACTGAATCGGATCAACTCATTTACAAAATTTATGAACTCTAGGATTTATTTTTCATTGGAGTGAATTTCAGGTGCACTGTTAATAGTTCCGTCCGTTTTGCTTGGTATCCAAACATTTACACCTGTCAAAATTACAAAAGGTAGTTCAATCAGAAAGTATGGTCATGTTTTGGCTCGAGCCAAACTGTTAAAGATTATTCATAGACAAACCTTGTTCTGTCTTCGCCTGAACAAGCTAGATTGAGATGATTCGGCAATGTTCTTATTTGTGGACGTGCTTCCCCCTCCCAAATCTTGTATTATTTGCTTCAGGCTCGCCACCACTTGAGTCATTGTCGGCCGCTCTTTTGCGTTCTTGTTTAGGCAGCTATCTGCCAACTTAGCAATTTGCCTTGCTGCTTTGATAGAGTACTCATTTCTCAGTCGTGGATCAATAATCATGCTAAATCTGCTACTGTCAACTGGGAACTGTTTCACCCAATATAGAAGCTTCTGCTCTGCTGCAGGGCGGTTTCTTTCCACAGTTCGCCTGCCAGTAAGGATTTCGTAGAGAACCACACCGAAGCTCCATATATCACTTTGACTGGTGAGGTGGCCTGTTTCAACATATTCAGGAGCAGCATACCCGTATGTACCAAGCACCTGACACCGGCAAACACATCAACAAAAAAACATGCAAGGCCAAAAAACCAATATTGAAATACAATCACGCAGCTGTGTATTAATTATTGATCAGGGAAAGTCATCCTGCATGACCAGGCTTATCCAGATCTAAAAATGTAACTTTTCAGCTAAATTCGTGTTAGTGATTTGATTGATAGATATCGGTAAAGAAGAAAGAAAAGAAAGGGAAAGATAAGAGGTTAATTTGGTTCCTCCTAGTTGCAGCATAATTCATATATAACCAATGACACACTGGGATTTACTGTTTCTGCGATCTGAGCTGCATCACTTCTAGTATGGAAGTTAAAGGTGGATGGATTAACCAGCTACATTTTTTGGTTCAGTAAACTAATGAAGAACGCGTGTTAGAAGATGGTTTTGCTTAAAACATATCATAAAGCTACTCACCGCAGTGGATACATGAGTCCGATCACCAGTCGGCCCTTCTCTAGCAAGCCCAAAATCTGAGAGCTTCGGCTTAAAGTCCGCATCCAAAAGAACATTCGAGGATTTGAAATCTCTATAAATTACCTGTGCAATTGAGACGGAAAAGGATTAAAATTCAATAATTGAATAAGAGGCTGTCTTAAAATGTACCAAAACTTTCAATGTGAAGCCAAGAACGTTATGATAGTTCATAAACAAAATAAGATTCACACTGCCGTTTGTCCAATTCACAGCTTCTCCATATCACATAAAACCGATACCCTTAGGAAAAGAAATTATAAGAATTTGGATACAGAAAATGAGTTCTGCCAAGGTTTCATCCATGGCGAGACGTCACAATAATATCCTGTATTGTAAAACTAGGTAATGATGAAATTTCTCATCCACCCAACAGTAGATCTGAAAAGTAGATTCAGCAAATGCCTTTTCCAGAAACTATGAGGTATGTTTAATGAGTCAGTAAAATTCCCTACCAGAAAAGAATGAGAACTGTGGCCAGGCCATATCATCTTCCTGGGCTGGAGACTTGTCAAATCATAGCGAGACAGGATAAAATGTTCTCACAGGAAGCAACGACCTGTCTAAACCAGTTGCTCAAATTCTGTATGACTCTACCAGTATGATGGTCCAGAATGGGCCAATTAATCTACATTACTATTAGAAGGTTCTGACTTCAAGACCTACACACAAATACATTTTTTTTTTACACGAATCAGCCAATACCTTACGAGTCTACACACCCGTCTTAAGAATAGCATCATAGCCACAACTTCAAAGCATGAAAGTGCAAGACGCTCCAGATTCCTAGATCAAGACAGATTTCGACTTGGTGCAGCCTACGTAGCAGGGCCATTAATTCAGTTCATCTAGGTCATAGTAAAAATTACCTGGACTTCCATTCCTCCATGCAAGTAAGCCAGTCCTTCAGCAGCACCAAGGATTATCTCTAATCTTTTCCTCCATGGCAGATTGGGCAGACCACTTTTGAAAAGATGATCTTCTAAGCTTTTGTTAGGCATATATTCATAAACCAGCAGCCGTTGGATCCCTCTTTCACCATCTACGGAGCAGTAACCTATAAGTTTCACTAGGTTTGGGTGACTAACAACTCGAAGAAATTGAACTTCTGCAAGCCATTGTTTGTGACCCTATATCAGAGAAGGACATCACCAAAAGAAACAGGTTTTAGTTGATGAAATGAAGAGATACATAAACAACAAATAAAAGAACACATACAACAGTTAATGAAGGCCAACAGTCATCAATATTACCATAAAAAAATTAAATTTTGATGAATGTGTAATTTGAACTACAGAGAAGATTCCAAGGACCGAATACTAACTTTTGGATCCAGTTAATTTGAGCTTTGTTCGAAGAAAGACACTCCATTTTCCTTATTATAATGGGATTCTAAGCATAAAGTTCAAGTTTAAGAGATGCAAGAGTTATTGGCCTATTGCATATTATTGTCCGTTAGCTTCTTTTTTCTCTTGCTA